TCTCTAATCTCTATGTATCTATCTATATATCCATCTATCTCTATATCATCTCTACCTATCATCTATCTATCTCGACTTATCTCTATCTCTACTTATCTCTATCTCTAATTATCTCTATCTATCTATCTACCTATCATCTACCTATCTCTCTACTTATATTGATCTATCGATCTATCTGTATCTATTTCTATCTAAAGAAAGAGCTAAAGAAAAAAAGCTCGCATTCTCTCTCTTCAAACCAGAAGGAGAAAGCTAAAGAATTATTTTAGAAGAAAACAAGAGGGGTGGGGGAACTGAAACAAATCTAGAGAGGCTTAAAGCCAACAGGGTGAAACGGACCACAAAGAGAGAGTCCTGCATCTAGACAGAGAAGAAGAAAAAAGACCCAGTTGCAAGATGGGGTACGTCTGTTTTGGCAAGAGGGCCCGTGAAAAGGATCTGCGTGTTCTGGTACGTCGGACCTTGAAGGGGAGCCAAGAGTGCGAGGCAGCTGTTTAAAAAAAAGGCAAATGCTATCGTGGAAGGAATTAGAGAACAAATCGTCCCTTTCTTCCCAGCCTTGGTCAGATGCCACTTGGAATGTGATATCCAGCAAGGAGTTGAGGTACTAGAGAAGGCTACCAAGATGGTGAGGCAAATGGAAACCAAGCCCTGTCCAAAGACTCCAAGGAGCTGGAATGTTTACTATTTGAAGACTGCTGGTGTATTTGAAAAGATGTAAAAGAGGAGGAGGAGGAGGAGGAGGACAACTTACCAAAGGATCCTTAAAGTACATTAATCTTCTATCATCCATGGTAAACCAGCGTTTTTTGAAGCCTTCTGTTTGCTAAAAGGGAAAAAATGGAAAAGAAAAATTTTATCGGTAAACCAGCGACATGTTTATCTAAAATGCAAGATAGATATTTTTATTTTCCTTCCTTTTTTTAAAAAAAATATATTTTTCACATTAAAGATTGTCTGGTTAATTGCGCATGTAGGAACTTACTAAATAATTTAAAAAAGGAAAAAAAAATTCAGCACTGATATTGCTTATTTGAAACTTCTTCAGACCACATATGAAGAAGAGGTGAAAGGGTTAAGCTCGTGACTTGTGGAGCCATAGTTTCCTAAAAATAAGAGTTTATTAAAGAAGTCACAATTGGCTGGATTCCCAGGTTATAAAAAGCCTACAACCACGGCTTATTTGTGTCTGTGTATTCAGGCAACACAGAGAGCTACGACCAAAGAGAACAGATTACAGATTCAAATTCCAGCTATGATAAGCAGGCAATCATAATTATTCTTCCAGTTTATCTACTTTTTTAAAAAAGGCAGAATACAATGCTGGCCACAGATCCCTAAAAACAGCCACATCCATAAAAAATTTTTTTCAAAAGTACAAGTTTCTAGTCCCTTTGGCATCTGGAAGTATATGTGGTTCATGCTTGCATCAATCCTGACAGCTGGGGAAATGTTCTGCATGCGTTTTCCTACCCTGAAAGAAGCAGGAATGTTGAGTATTGGAATATAAACCTAAACTTCTGCCTTCCTTTTGAATCTCTGCCACACTCTGATATTTTAATTTCCCTTGGGGTCCCAAGAAAGGGCGGAGGGAACGAAGCATCTTGCAAAAAAACAATACATAATTTAGATTGTGCTGATCGGATTAAATTGTTAGCAGCAACAGCCAATTTATACAAATCTCTCTCTCTCTCTCTTTTTTTCTTTTAAAAGACAGCTCCAGTTAAAATCTGATGCAAACCTTAGGCTTGTTTTAATTTGTATTTAATGAATTGGTTAAGCACAGAGACTGAGGCCTTGATTAAAACTCTCCTTGGCTCACAACAGCAAGAAAATAATTAAGTTCTTGGTTCACCTTAATTAGGAGAGAGAGAGAAACTGCAATGCATGGGGGGGGGGGGGGGAATAAAGATGGTTTTCCCCCTCAAAAGCTGACTGGAGAGCAGAGAAGTCAGATAAAATGTTCATCTGGAACTGAAGAAAGCCAGGTTAAAAATCCCAAATTTTCTGCCTAATCAACCCTGCAAGTCCGTTGTAAGGAGCCAAAAGAAAGGAGGAAAACCATAAAAATGAGCCATATTTTTTGGGAAGAAGATAATAGCTTATAATAATAAACGCAGGCACACTAATCCTCCTCAGGGATGCTGTAACTCCATTTTGAATTGGGAAGGCACAATATTTATGGCTGTAATCTTGTTCAAGACAGGCGAGGATGAGAACGGCCTCCTCCCATCCAAAGACTTGTAGCCAGCCAAATTCCCAAATCGGTAGTAATTTTCACTCCGCTATTATGGGATGGTCTATTAGAAGACATTCAGCTGGTCCGTCGAGCATAGAAATAACTTGGTTGTTTAAGGAAGCTACCCGACGTTAGTTCTTCAAGGACTTTTGATATCATCTATAGTTAGCCATTTCCAGAGAAAGATCCACCAAGGTCCTATTTCTTTAGGGTTCAGAATATATGCGAAATATCAGCTTTCTAGCGCAACCTAAAGTTGCCAATCAAAATTCCTTTTGAATATGATCAGGCTTTTAAGCAGGGGTGGGATTCTAAATTTTTTTACGACCGGTTCTGTGGGCGTAGCTTGGTGGGCGTGGTGTTGCCTGATGGGCGTGGCTTGGCGGGCGTGGCAGGGGAAGGATACTGCAAAATCCCCCTTCCCTCCCCAACCCCACTAACCTGCTTTCCAGCTCCGTTCTCCTGGGCAGGGCAACCCAAGAAGACCCAGCCGATCAGCTGGGACTCAATGGGAGGCGGAGAATAGATGGGGTTTGCAGGGCCTGTCAGAGGTGGGATTGGCCGGTTCTCCGAACTACTCAAAATTTCCACTACCGGTTCTCCAGAATCGGTCAGAACCGGCTGAATCCCACCTCTGCTTTTAATGCTTTCCATAGGATCTCAGGGTCTCCAAGCCGACCCTAACCCCAGTACAAAACCACCATGGACGTATTTCAACCATCTCTTTGTAGCTCGCAACATATCACGCTATGGAGCAGAACTGGCAGAAACGTTTGAAGGAAGGCAATAACCAAACTTGAACGGTAATATCTATGGAGATTCTCAGTCATCAGGACTTGGTTGTCTTGAAAAAAAAAAAAAAAGCAACGTGGGGACTTGAAATGTCATCCAAATCACCATGATTCGTGCGCAATATACTAACGGAGACCAGGATTTATAAGGTCATCCTGTTTTCCCACCCAACATTGTCAAATTGCATTTGACCGAAAAGATTAAACTCGACTTACTTTTGGCCCAGTTTTCTCCATGTAGCCTTCCTTCAGGTAATTCCTTGAAAGTTTTGGCACCAGCTAGAACGTTCAAACGATAGAAGAGGAAGGAGGTCAGAAGACAGAAATACTACGCAGTGCCAGTGGAGAAATGAAGCAGGAAGAATATTCTTCAGGAAGAATAAAATTGCATCAGCCTCCCAAAAGCTCTTTAGCCATCAATTGTTGCAGTGAGAGGATAAAACGAGGAAAGCTGGCTTGTGCAGTTATTTGACACAAATAAACAGACATTAAACCAGTGTTTCTCAATCTTAGTAACTTTAACATAGGTAGACTTCAACTCCCAGAATTCCCCAGCCAGCTTGCTGTTCAATCGAGACGTTCTCCTGGTGTGTGGACTTTCAACTCCCAGAATTCTCAACCATGCTGGTTTTTTCTTGGGAATTATGGGAGTTGGAAGTCCACACAGCTGGAAGTTGCCTAGTTTGAGAGACATTAATATAAATAATTCCAGGGAACAAAAAGAGGAAAGAAGAAATGCCAAGCTCACATCAGTATTGCTGGCTCCGGGGAATGCCACTTGCAAGTAATGGAATCGCGCGGCACGGATGGCGTTGAACCAGTCCACCATTTCCTGAAGAGCAAGAAAATGGTTGTGTAAATGAACATGCACCAGTGCACCCTTCAGAGGCGTTCGCTACGATTTTTCTTAGAGCTGGCTAGGATTGGCTTTTAAATGCAGCTCTTCCCACAATGGTTAAATCTCATTTCTCCAGGCTCCACTTTCAAAATAATACTATTTCATTCAGTGGCAGTTTCTCTGCATTCCCTTTCTTAAACTGAGTTTATTTTTTTTATTTTTCAAAAAAAAAACCATGTATATAGCCATTCATCTTGTCACCAATTTTGGGCAGCTCAGTTTACAAATGGCAGCCACTTATCGCAAAAGAATAACTGCTGGTTTTAGATCTAAATTTTCTAATCGCTAATTTTCATTTACTCTCCATTTCACGCGCAGTTTAAAAAAGAAAGTATTTTGAGTCAGAAATAATCTGTATTTCAAATTAATTTCAAGAGGTTTCAGGAAGGAAGAGACATTACCCTGTAGTAAGATAGGCGGTAGGTAGGTAGGTAGGTAGGTAGGTAGATAATAGATGGGATAGATGATATAGATGATAGATAGATAAGATGATAGAGATGATAGATAGATAGATAGATAGATAGATAGATAGATAGATAGATAGATAGATAGATAGATAGATA